TAAACATTTACCTCATACAAGAGTCCTTGCATATTTATAAGCACAGTAAGGGCTTATAAATACACTATCTCTGGCTATCCAGGCCAGAGAAGAGTGGTGGCAGCACTGACTGCCTTTGCTGAAGATAGGAAAACAACCAAAATGACTCTATTTTGGTTTTCCAGGTAACAGGCAGGTGAAAAAAAATAAACCTTTTTTTTGGGGGGGGGGGGGGGATGATGCAGGGGGCTTGCTCAGCAGTGCTTAGGGTTTACTCCTGGCTCTATGCTCAGGGACTACTGCAGGTGGGTGCTAGGGGACCATATACAGAGCTGGAGGTCGAACCCAGGTTAGCCAGAGGTAAGGCAACTGCCTTACACACTGTATTATCTCTCTGGCTACCGAACTCCAGCCCCCCTCCCCCCACCTTCCATGATGCCTTTGGAATGAAACTGATCATCACTAATACTACTCAAATATTCATGCCATGAAACTAGGAACAAAAATGAATGTACTGTTTAAGTTAAAAAAAAATGAAATAAAGACAGGAAGAAAAGCCATACCAGAGCAGAATTCTTTGGGTGAATATCCTGTAAAGTACTGCCAAACCAAAACAAATTTTATAGAACAATATGACTACTCAAGTAGGGCCTTTTATGACAATAAACACCCCAAACCAAAAAATCCTTTTGTAACATAATTACTGAGAATATATACAGAAAGCAACCATTTAATCCACAGCATGTGTTCTTCACCACAGGAACTCAAAGGCTGACATCAGATGGGGTGTGGCTGGGCGAGGCCCTTGAAAATGAATTCTGACTGCTTGAAGTCAGGCAGTTCTCGGGACTGGCTGGGGAGCCAAGCTCCAAGCAGGTCTTACAAAGCCTAAGGCTGTTGACATCTGGGTGGAGACATGCCATCAATTGCTTTTTGATCTGGCAGAGATGGTTGTGGTCCATGTGGTACATGGAGTGAAGCTGCAGAGTATTGCCAGAGTTAAATTTTAATAGTCTTACTCTTGTATGCTGTATCCTTTGGAACAACTTGCTACACAAAGTGTAGTACCCTACACTAAGAATCCTGACTTTTTTTTTCTTTTTGGGTCACACCCAGAGATGTACAGGCATTACTCCCGGCTCATGCACTCAGGAATTACTCCTGGCGGTGCTCAGGGGACCATATGGGATGCTGGGAATCGAACCCAGGCTGGCCGTGTGCAAGGCAAACGCCCTATCTGTTGTACTACCGCTCCAGCCCCCAACAAGCATTCTTAAGACAGAAGTACATTATGCATAGAAGTTACACAGCAGTACATAACTTTGTAGACTTAAAAATAAATACAAATTAAAAGGAAAATAAGTGAGCACTGAGTACAAAGACATAGCTGCACTACTAGCATGGTATTCTTAACACAGAAATGTTAGAGGGAAGCTATTGCAACCTATTTCAGGAAAGATTTACAACAATGAAAGTCTCTTCTAAGAGAAATTGTATGGGGTGAATTCTGAATAAAACTGGGGACGGGGTAGCTTTTGTTTCTAAACCAACCTGGAAGTATAGTAGTGAAACTTACTGACTTAAAAAGACAGCAAGAGGAAGAACTTTTCGTATAAGTTTGTCCAGTTTGGTAGAATGCAACTATTGTGTATGAGTACACAGATCATCTACAGCCAGATTGAAGTTTTCACTCTAAAACTGCTTCACTCAAAATATAAGGAAAACTAGCCACATGACACACCCAATTTAATGTGATTTTTCTAATGTGGTTTCACCATAAATATGAAATTCCATTTTGTGCAATGGAGAAAATGTCTGGGACTTTTATATGTGCAACTGTTTAACCACATGGCCTCTCTGGTGAGGTTACTCAATAATCTAGATTAACCAGCCAAGGCTTGATTCAAAATACCCTAGTATATAGGGTTAGCAGTTAAGCTGCCTGAGCACTTATGTCATTTTTGCTGATAAAAAAACTCACCTATATTTACGAGCAAATTGTTCAGGTTTGCTGATAACAGTCTGCTTCGTGCTGGACCATCTGAAACTCACTCAGAAGCTGTCCAAGTGCACATCTGCCTTTCACAGGAGGAAGGCCGGTCATCCCCAGGGTACATACTTCTTTTTTTTAAGGGATCAGAACACATCTGCTATGATATGCTTGGGGGCTTCCTCACAATGCCCAGCAAGCATCCTGATTTGTTTTTCCCCTTGGCCTGGAGAGAGTGAGCAGCTCAGTGCTTGCTGTCCCTTCCCATTCTGTACACTCATAGGCCGCAGCTGTAGTAAACAGCCACCAGCCAAGAGTTGCTAAGGTCAAGGTCTCCAAAGCTATACCAGGACCAGTTTCTCCCGAACGACATTCAGTTCTTGAAAAGGGACTTCCGGAGAAGGAAAATACTAAGGAATTGTTAGTACAAACATTTTCATTCAATGAAAAGTCGGACAAGCATTCCAAAATAAAGTTTGACAAACAGAAGCTTCCTTTAAATATGAATTATTAATAGATAAAAAGCTGAAGAACTTCAAAAATAAATAGAAATCCCCCCAAGAATGCCTTATTTATCCATCCAGCCATGGACTGCATTCGATAGCATTTTAGGTCACAAATGTTGAAAATTTTATCTGCAAATATTCCCAATTTTACCAGTTTAAGCAGATGTCATAACTGTTATTAATTAGAAAGAAGAGGGAAAAGATAAACCTCTTTCCTAAATATAAATTTCTGTCAAATCTCCTGTTCTCAAATTACTCTCTCTCGAACCCAACAGGGTTCCAAAGGCTCAAGCTAGTCACAAGAAGGAACAAGCTACAACGATAAGGATATAACTTATGCAACTGAAATGTTTGTCCTTCAACACCCTATTCCTAAGCTTCTACCATCAAGCATTTTCTAGCTTAAAAGTGTACCTATTCCTTTAGGGCAACCAATCCAATCTCTCTCTCTCTCTCTCTCTCTCTCTCTCTCTCTCTCTCTCTCTCTCTCTGTGTGTGTGTTAAGCAATATGCAAATAGGATCTGCAAGTGACACAACCAGCGTCTTTTGGGGGAGGCTCTGGTTGGGGGGAGGGGGCTTCATGTTTTTTATTAAATGCCAATTCCAAAGAATGCTGCTTCAAAGATGGTACCCTCCCACTCTTCCAAGTGACCACTCCTGTTCTCATCACAGGCAGCCAGCTGTTAAAAGTCACATTTCTCTCAAAGCATTTACTTAATTCAACAACTCTATCCTCCAGTAAGAAAGGGGCATGCTGCCATCGAGGTGGGTTTGCACAGTGACGTGGACCTGATTGGCAGATGTCTACGAAGCCACTAGATGCACATGCACTAAATGTAAATAGTGCTGCTGTTCTCCGTGTTCCGGGGAGCAGATAACATTAGAGCGGATTTAGAATAAAACATCCGAGTGTCTGGCCGAGAATTCTATTAGCCAGTGGAACTGCTTAAAACAATCCACATACAATGATACTTAAACCATCCGTACAGTAAAATTAGAGAGCTGACAATACTAACCACCCAAACAGTCTATCCAGATTACACATTCCGTTGTCCTAATACTCTTTAACCCAACACAGCCCTCCTTTTCTCAGCCGAATTAAGGCTATTATTATTAAAGTATGCAAAAAGCGCAGGGTGGAGGGGGTAGGGAGGCTGCAGGGCATACAACAAAGGAATTGGGACTTTTTCCAAGCCTTTGCCTCCCAAGCACTAAGGCAACGCCACCGAACTGTTGAGTGCACCCCACCCTTCTCCCCAAAGATAAAAGTTTTCAAAGTTCTAATAGGCAGTTCTCTACCCCACAAAAGCAGGGTTGATTCTCTCGGCAGGGGAGCATCTAGCATGAACACCAACTACAGTCTCCGAGGTCAAGTCCGTGTCCTTCCAGCGGGCTTGGCCGGCAAGAAGTGCTCCCAGGCGGCTCCACCGCCCTGCCGGCCCGGGTGGCCGTGCAAAGTTGCCCCTTGTCAACTCTGGCCAGGCAGGTCCCCGGGATTGCAACTAACAGTCACAGGCCAGCCCCTGGCTACTTCCGATGGGCCGGGCACGGCGGCGAGTGACAGTTACACATCATTACGACCAGAGACAATAATGAATGTAGCACCCGGACCACGATTCATGCCAGCGGTGTCATCTCCGCCTTAACCCCTTCGCCTCCGCGCTCCCCAGCGCACACCCACAGCCGGCCGCACAGCCCCGGTGCGGCAGCGACTCCCTGAACCCGGTCTATTCCCGGGGGCTGGGGGTGTGCACGGGGGAGGGGGAAGGGGGTGGCTCTACTTGCATAAAGCCCCTTCACCCCCGATTCAGCCCTGGGTGTTTCCTTTCTTGTCCTAGTAACTGTCAAGGCAAACACTGCAACCTACAATTCCTCTAGGGATAGGGAAAAAAAAAAATTTTTTTTTTTTGCTTAATTCACGTTACTTGCTAAGTTCTTTAAAAAAAAAAATGAGGAGGGGAAGCCCTTTTTTTCTGCACGAATCCGACCGACGCTCCTGCCTTTGCAATAGCATCGTCCTCCCTCGGCCCCCCCTCCCGCTTCCCAACACTTTCCCCCTTGCAGAACGGAGACCAACCAAAATAATTTAACTTGAGCAGATGACAGAAGGAAAAGAAAACATGTCATAAGAGAATACGGTCTGATCTGGGATGGAAAAAAAAAGAAAGAAGAAGAAGAAGAAGAAAGAGAGAGAGAGAGAAGAGGGGAGCGGGGGTTGTTTATTTTGATAAGAAACGGAATCGGCACAGACCTGAACAGAAGCTGCTGCAGAGCAGGAGAAATTGTTTTCTTTCCCTCAGAGTCCCCCTCTCTCTCCCTTTCTCTCTCGAGCTCACACGCGCACACACGCGCGCGCGCGCACACTCGCCCTGGCACGCGCACACACACACACACAGACACACGCACACGCACACTCGCACGCGCGCCCGCACACGCGCGGGCAGAGCCTCCCGGCGGCTCTCTGCAGTTCCCAGGAAATGAATGGGGGGCAACCCGGGAACTGTTGTACTTGCAAATGACTTACCCGGGTCACATGACGCGCGAAACGTAGGGTGGGCCGGTGGGTGGCGGCTGCCGAGGCGCGAGCCCGGGTCTCGCGTGGGGAGCCGCGCCAGGCCCGCCTCGGATTTCCCCGGGGCCCGCCGAGGGTTGCAGGACGCCGCCGCTCCTTCCCCTGCAAGCCGCTGCTCGGGAAACCGGAGAGGCGCAGGGGCGGGGTGGGTGGGGTGGGTGGGGTGGGGAGGGGCGGGGTGGAGTGGGGTGGGGTGGGGTGGGGTTGCGGGGGGCAGGGAATGTGCGGCGAGGCTGGGGGTGGTGCAAACACCGAGCCCCCCAAACAAAAGAGCGCCGGGGGCCTCCTCCCCCGAAACAAAGCCCCGCCGCTGCGGGCGAGCCCCGGGGTGGGGCCGAGGGCGGGGGCGGCGGCGGGGAGGGGCGCGCTCAGCGGGCGCTAAGTCGCTTCATTGCCAGCAAACGGGGCCCCGCGCCCCGCCCGAGGATCGGGAGGCGGCTCCGAGCGCGAGGGTCGAGATCCCCGGTGGGAAACTGACCCCTCCCCGCGCGCAGAGTGGCGGCGACACCCACTGCCCGGCCCTCCCGCCGCCGCCCGGGCCGCGGGCTGGGGGGTGGGTCCCGGCGCCTCCACCCCGCCCCACCCCGCCCCACCCCTGCCCCCGCCCCGCGGCCTTGGGCCTCGGCCGCGCCTCCCTTTCACCTGCAGCACCTTGCTGCGGCGCCCCAGATGACCCACGCATGGCCAGGGGACACTCGCGGGGGGCGCTGGGGGAGGAGCCCGGCGGCCCCGGGGGGCTGGGACGGGGTGCGGCGGGGACCCGGGGCGCAGGGGGGCCTCGCTGGCTGGAGGAGCCCCCCGGATTGCAACTCGCCCGGCGGAGCCGCCGCCAGAAAGTGCCCCCCCCCCCCCCTTTTGTGTTCCGAGCGCTCCAGGCAGCAACTGCAAAAGCGAATGGGGAGGGGGGCGACAAATAAGCTCAGAGTCCCCGGGCCCCCCCGGCGGGCGCGCGCGGCCAGGGCGAGGGGCCCGCGGCCGAGGGGTCCCCGCGGCTCAGCCGCCCGCGAACTTGCAAAGGTGTGGGCGGAGCGGGCGCGGGGCTGCGGGGCTGCGGGGACCCGGCCCGCCCCCTGGGGTGGCAGCGGGCAGCGCCCGCGGGGGCCCACAATGAGGGCGGGTGGGGCGCGCGCGGGGGGCGGGGGCGGGAGGGGTGCATTGTTTGGGGGCCCGTGCCCCGCGCGTCCCGCCCGCTCCCCCCAGCTCCCCGCGCTTCACCTTGGCGGGATGCAGGGGTGGGGGGCGAGGCGGGGCCGCGTGCTCGGCGGCCGGAGGAGCCGGGGCGCCCGCCCGCGCTCCAGTTCTTTGGGGACGCACGGGAACTTGCTAGGAGGGGACGGCGCGGGCCGAGGCCACGGGGGCCCCCCGGGACGCGCCGGGGGAGGCCGGGCCAGCCTCCGGGGGTCCGAGAAGTGGGCGGGGGCGGGGACTCCCGCTCGGGACACAGCGGATCGTGGAGGGTTCTAGGGCCGCGGGAGGGGGCGCGGGGTCAGCGCCGCGCTGGGGGCTCGCGAGGACGCGGGAGAAAGCTGCGACCCGCGGGGCGGGGGGAGGGCGCGGAATGCGTGCACCCCCCCTTCCTTTTTTCCTGTGCTTTTTCCTTTTTTTTCCTTTTTATTTTGCAAACCTAGGTGAGCGTGCCCGGACGCCCCGGCCTGCCGGACACCCTCCGGCTCCTCCTGCTCCCCTTCTCCCGACCCGGGCGCTGTGCCCCGGGGCCCGCCCTGCGTGGGAACCCGGCCCAGCTGGGGAAAGGCGGGCGAGGGGAAGTTTGCGTTTTTGTGGTATAAAGTCGGGTGGGAAGCAAAACGAGGGAGAGGCCCGAGAAACAGGAAATAAGAGAGCGGGAGGAGCGGGGGGACGCCTTGGAGCCAGGGAAAGCCGTGTCCTACATTTTGCGCGGCACGCTCCGGACCCACCCCAGAAGGCCCGGGGGGCTTTATTCCAGAAAACAAAGACTGAGCAAAGACTAAGCTTGCCGGGGGCTTTCCTCCCCCCCCCCCACCCCCCCCCCCCCCACCCCCCGCCGTCAAGCCGCCTTTCTGGGGGATGGGCCAGGTGGGTCGAGCCTCGAGCCCTGCGCCCCTGTTCCTGCTGGGCCTGCAGCTCGGAAATAGCCCGGGATGGAGGCGGAGGGGGCTAGCCCGGCGCCAGGGATGTCAAAATTGGCGAATGAAACAAGCGAGCTGGTGACTGTGAACTATGGACCACTCCTTAGAGAAAGCAAGCACGGGATGGGGGCGGGCGCGGGGGCGGGGGCCTGGCAGCGGGAGCCCACCTCTGAACATATGGGTGCACTCATGGAATCGGAGGGAAAAGCAGAAGGGAACCTGCAGGCTGAAGGGTCCATAGCTTGGGTGGGGTCTCTGTGGGGGCGGGAAAGCAACCTGGCCCCCAGCCAGCCAGCGGGGTGATGTGATGCTGGCCGCAGGATAAAAAGACAAACAAACGCACAAAAAAACTTCCAACTCCTCTGCCTCTGGACAGAAAGAACACGGACAGACAAGTTGGGAGAACGCTGAATCTCAACAAACGCGCAGCATTTAAAGGAAAAACTTGCCTCTACTGGACACACAGTGAAGTTTCCCTCTAGGTGGGGCAGGGCGAGGCTGCGAGCGAAGGAAGCGAGTTGAACTGCAAGAGGGGAGAGATGCTCGAAGAAATTATGTCATCCTGGCCGTGCTTGTACTAACAGCTCTCCTCCGGGAGAGCTGAGCGGCGGACTGACCGTAAATATATTCTACGGCGAGTGCTTCTGCACGTGCAAGAGCATTCCAAACTGTTCTCGCCTCCGATGGCAACAGCAAGGGCACGTTCATAGAATGAAGAACGGGAAAATCGAGTACAGCAATCCATTCCAGAGGGATGAGGGCATTAAGGATAGGTCAAGGTTAATATCTAGAATCTGTGCATGAAAGAAGGAAGCACGTCAAGTATTAGAAAAAGGCCTTGCAGATTTTTTTTTTAATTGACAGCTAAGAGTAGAAATGGTAAAGGCAACTCCCAGGACAGAAAGAGGACAGCCGGTAGGGCGTTTGCCTTGCACTACGGCTTACCTGGGCTCTATCCCCTGCACCCCATATGGTCCCTGGAGCCCCACCAGGAGTGATCCCTGAGTGCAGAGCCAGGAGGAAGTCCCGAGCACTGCAGGGTGTGGCCCCAAAACATTTTTTTTAAAGAGAAGGATCTCTTCATTGTATGATCTAGGCATAGGTGTGGGAGAGTAAAAGCAGATGAAATAAAGTAGCTTGGAGGTTACTGGGAGTTAGGGTACTGGACTTGATGGGGTGTGTGATACAGGCTTCCATTTTCTGTCATTTTATATAGTCCTTTGTGCACAACTGAGGTCTAACCAAATTCAGAAAGGGAGATTGTACAGGGGAAAGTGAAGGGGGTAAGTTTATCTTTATGAGTCATTGTTCTTAACTGCAACGTGTAGGGATGTGAGAAATTGGAAAATGTAAAGAGAGCAAGTTTTTTTGACCAAGTGTGATTAATTTGGACCTTGTAACAGTGTTGAAAACCGCGCCAGGGAGATCTATCAAGGGTTGGAAAACATGTCATGCGATGCCTGAGGCCCTCAATGGTCTCTGCAACCACATGTCCCCACGCCCAACGCCTCTCAGGTCTAGCACCAAAGAAATCAGAAGTGACCCCAGAACACCTAGAGAAACACCCCCCTTAACCACAGCCCGGAACTTGTTGAAATTACATAATCATACTATGTCAATGTTGAAAAATGTATGCCAAATCAAAGTCTATGTGATACATACATTCTGTTTAAAATCATGATTGGGAGTGAGGAAGATAGCTCAGAGGGTTTGACCCCCAGCACTGCATGGGGCCCTCAGCTCCACTTGCAGTCACTCAGAAGCACTATGCCCCGGAATATTCCTGAACACTGTTGAGGACTGGGATACTCAACTGGGCATCCCAGCTCCTAGTAATGGTGTGTGTGGGGCTCTTCCAAAGACAGGACAAACAAAATCAAGATGATCTTGAGAGTTGGAACAATATCATACAGGGGTTAATTCACTTGCCTTTCATGTGGCCAACCCCAGCTCAACTACCATCAACATATATGATCCCCCAGCACTATCAGGAGTGTGGCCTGGACATTCTTGAATGTGATCCAAGCCTCTATCAAAACTATCCCCCCAAAAGATAATTTGGGTCAAAGATGATGACCCATGTCCCTATGTATTGACTTAAGTTTTGATTATTGCAAAATTGTTTAAAAGAGTTCATGAAGAGGGCAAAGGTTGGTATTTTGAGTTTCTAATTCATAGTACAAACAGTGGATTTATTTTACCTAGTACCAATAAAAGTGCATAAAAGAGAGCACCATCAATGCAAGTTAATATATCTAATTTAATGTACATAACAGCAAAACTTACAACTACAGATTTTAAGTTGTTACTGTAAGTGCACTTGTCACCTACCCACAAACTTTTTGTCAGGGCTTCTTGATCAGAGATTAAGTTTTTCTTTCAATGGTGTCAGGATACAAATATCTTTGTTAGTGTTAAGAATTTTACTGATTCCATGTCCTCATTCCCTTAAGGAAAGACTCTTGTATATACATGTGAAATTCTTAAGCCTTTGGATTATTGATGCTGAAGAGCGCATTGATGATTTGACACTAATACAATTTCTGGCAGAGGCAGGGGGAAATGGAGACACTTTGCAGAAGTGAGAATGCTATTGAAAGAAGTGAAAAGAAAGGTTATTCCCAAAACTAAAATTTTAAAGGCAGTTCTGACTTTTTTCTTTAGGACCAGAAGTGAGTGTATACAGTTAGGTTTTCAGTCCCTCCTCCTTTTTCTTTTTTTCCAGCTGTCTTGTTTTGGCAATAAAGTGCAGCAAAAGGGAATTCTCTTGAGTATGAGAAAGGCATGTAAAAGTGTTGCTACAAATGCAAGCGGCTGGTGATATATGATTACGTAGGAAACAACATGTTTTAATTTAAATGAGGAGCTCTCTGGAAATTAGGGGAAAACACTCTTTCATGACTTAGCTGCAATCAATATACTTCTGTCTTTCCAGCTTCAGTGTCTTCGTCCCCTTCTGAG